AATGCCCGGCGAGTTCCTAGAGCGAGCAAAACCCATTGCGCTAATCTTGTACGCAACAGGGAAAAATGAAAGGTTTACTGGTGCCCGCTCAAGTCACTCGACGATCAATTGGACCATAGGTGATACAGGTGATACGCATTCGTTGTATAGTTGCATGCACCTTCCCATTTTTGGAATGTCGCCAACTTTTCTTTAATAAAACAAAAAACAGACACAAAAACTTGTCTACTATTTAACCACATTGTTTTCAACTTTTGCTAAAGTTTTGTAAGATGTGTAAAGTGTTAACGTTTTTACATCCATCAGTTCATGGATTTTCCTCGATAGCTGTTACTCCTGATGGCTACTGGAAATGTAAGAATGGTCAGCTGTTTTCCAAAAGTTGAATTTCATAGGTCCAAATCATGTTTGTGATAAACGAATTCATCTTTCAGTGAGCGCTTATTGACAGCAAATGAGAAGGTAATGGTGAAACTCAGGACAATAATGAACTCCTTCGTTGATAGGCTAACACTAGGTTGATAAGGAACAATCAATCTTTGGTAATTTTACTTAATTGATACTTAAATGGCCAGTCCCTACTGGCTGTGCGGGCCCCAGCACAATTGCCACTTTTTGGAGATTCGCTGGTTAAGCCATTGTGGTTCCCTGGAATCCCGATATCAGCCAAGACAAAGTCGGTCCCGGATTTTCACCACCGCAGGCAGTCGCAGCCCTTGTGGATCAGAGGGAGATTTGCCACCATAAGACTTTCATATCAGGACGGTGGTGGATTCTGGTATCTCTCGTGGTCACAGTCAAAAAGTCTGGAGATAGTGAGTCGGAGTATAAACACGATGGTTATGTCTATGAAATAGTCGGTGATGATGGTACGAACTGTAGCTAGTCAGCATACTGATTCAGTGATTCACGACCGCTAAATATTGATGGTATTGAATTCGACGTGAATCAACTGCTGCTTGGATGCACAAGACGGAAGCGTTTTAGTGGGTTCGTTATGGGTGATATGCAGGACGAATCTGTAAGGGGACCAAAGAAAATGGAAATAAAGAGGTTCTTACACATAAAACATGTAGGTCGCAAGTACGGAAACAAAAATAGGAAGTGTAAGCTGGTGGCGGTGAAGATCGTTAACGATTTGTTAGGACGTGCGACTGTTCTCTTAGTTGAGAGAATGCCACAGAGGAATACCCAACTAGTTGACATATACAAGAAGAATAAATACTCCCAAAGCACGCTATCCAGTGGAAGCCGAATAACGGGCAAGTGAAGGGCCATCGTAATGAAAGTGGCACAGTAGTACTTAAGCAGGAAGATAAACGGTGTATTTTCTTTATATCGAGAGAACATTATGCTACCATCTCGGCTACACCGTCGAAGTCACAGAATACGCATTGCATGGGCCAAATATGGCTTGTATAACTTTTATAACGCATTACATAGTCGGATAGGGGTAGTTGTATTCTACACATTATATTTTGCAAAGGACTTTTGCAGGCGAATTCGTTTCAGCGGCGAGGATGGCGCTGGAAACGAGGGTGCCAGAATTTTCCCGAAACGGACTCGCTGAATAATGCGCTCACCGATGATCTCTGACATAGTTCATCTTAGAGAACAGCACACGTTTCGAACACCATCATACTCAAATATCAATGGGTAAAGAATGTGCGTGCAAGTACACAAGAACACTCAGCATTCGATCCTACTCCGGCCTCGCGAAGCCTCTCACCCTGCCAGGTCGGGAGGTACCAGACATGTCTGGCGTCAGCGTGCTTCCTCCATTCCAAAAGTCTGGCAAATGCATGTGTTGAAAGATTTGGGAACGACCTAACCCGACTGTCTTAGATTTCTAGCGGGAATCGACTCAACCATATTTAAGGCGTTTCATCAAGAAGAACATGAATCCTAAAACAGCAGCGAAAATCACAAATCGAAATGTTGGTGGGGATGACAAATCAGGGAAGACAAATTGTGTGCAAAAAGCGCTGCGCTGTGAACCACATTTGATGACGGGTTGAGTGAAATAAACATAGATAAGGAGACCTGTGATATAAAATCGACTACCGAAAGGTACTAGTCTCGTGAGTGGGTACAGAAGAGACTTCTTCATCACCGAACCAAGTTGGAAATGCGCCAAAAACGTGGGAGGATATTTTGAAGGTACTTAAAGCACAGGGAAGGTTATGGCAAACAAAAATTACTATTACAAGAAACACATCCAGTGTATATTGTTGAGCACCTCTAACCAACACACTTCCCGAACCATAGTAACGTATAAGTGAACTGTAGAATAACGTTTTAACTTCTACTTACTGCTTATTCTTTTTTCATACGGGATATTATGTGAAATACTACCACGAGAATGTTGAGATATGAGCAACACTAAAAACACCAAATGCGCTTCAAACCTGCTGTTACCGTTAGACAGATCGTTCCCGTTGACAGATGACTACTTATTGAACCATTGGGGTTAAAAAAAACTGGTTGACAGAAAGGAAAAACAAGGTCATCGGTTGGTGTGGTAGGTAATACGTGAGCCATGGCAGAAGGTAATTACGGATTCAAGAGGCTTTTGAGGTTCCGTGTTTTCCTCATATCTCAGCATTCTTCCAACTATAGCATGCACTCATACCAACGCAACCATAAAGCAAATTCTCTTCTATGAAATTGTATGTCTCAATCCTCCACGTGTTCTAGTCATCTAAAAAATATCGTATATGGTCGAAAAACCAGCATGTCCGTAATGGTCTTTGGCGTAGTCTGGTGAGCCGGTCAAACGAAACTCACAAGGTGGTTAAACACATATAACTTAAGACTGATGCGATGACGGTATGTGACGGTACTCCATCAAATTTTAATGTTAAAAAGTTTACAGTCATTGTAACTGCAGATTACTCTGATTACTTCTGAATTAACCCTCAGTCGACATTTATCTGCTACGGTGTTCACTGACACAACGAATTCTGAAGCTTCAGTCGAGAAATAATGGCAATAACATTCCATAAAGAACACAAATTCGCCTATTCTTTATTAATTGATACACATATTCCGTAAATTGTGAAGTAATCATGCATGATTGTGCTCACATTGTTTATCGTACAGCAGCGATCAAACGTGAACTGCTTCTCAACGACATTCAAGATATTCGACTCAGCTCCTCGTTTACTTCCTTTTCCAACGCGAATAAGTCGTTCTTCGTTCGTCCAACAAAGTCCTGGAATATTTGTGAGGCTTTCATTTTCAATCGGATTGTATTCAACTTTTGGACCACAATCACACTACCTCATAGGTTATCTTTCAGCTCCGAACATGCAAAACATTGCAAAAAGGGATAAGAGAAGATCTTAAGTAGAGCAGAACAGCGGAGAAAATGGGAGGAATTGTCCATGATTACTACTAGGATCTCTCCAGTAGCTACGTCGTCCCTCACATGAAATAAAGGAAGACTGATGTACCGTCTCACCAGTTTTTCCTTCCGAAATCCTATATGCTGTTTCGTTCGGCGAGAAACCGAACAATGCTGCTCCAAACAGCATACCTTCTGAATGTTAAAAAAAAAGCCTTTAGCCGGTCCAAATCAACACACGTGCTCGAGTTCTCACACTTTACTTGTCAGAATGCAAAGTTCGTATTCAATGGAAGAATAGCAAAATTGTTGTTGTTCAAGAACGGGGACCTCTACGATATTGGCAACTATCGTCCACTCTGATTGCTCTCGGTCGTCTACAAACTCTTCACTCGAGTCATTTTAAACAATATTGATAGAACCCTGGCCTGGATGAGAGACATGCGAGCAAGGAGATCTTATTCAGTATGATGGAACTACACACGATATTAAGACTCCACGAAATTTAGCGAGTTTTCGGCTGAATTAAGATAGATATAGCCATAGAAACCCTGGCCAGCCAGACGTTCCCTACTCAGTGTATAGAGATTCTGCATGAGCTGTTTAACAATTTCACAACCAGAATATCACAATGCTATAAGTATATAAACGACGTAGAAAGAGGGGTTGGGCAAAGCGGCATGATCTCACCAAATTTATCTACTGCAACTCTCCAGAACGTCATGCGAACGTTGGAATCGAACAATGTGAGAGTAAATACCGATTGTGTGCAATTACACCGTCTTTCCTTTGCTGATGACATAATTCTTATAACACAAAAAATTAGCCAGTAGGAAAGAATGCTTGCCGAGTTTGATAACGCTTATTTGTCTTCGAATAAATCTCACAAAAACAATCGTGAAGACGGATTGGTCACGTATACCTCAATCATAAATGGAATGAATATCTTCGAATGCTCCAGTTACATCTATCTAGGTCGGAAAGTAAATATTGTGGATGACTTCGCTACTGAGTTGAGCAGGAGAAAGCGACCGGCTAAGGAAGCTTTCAAGGGCACCGAGTATTTGACGAGAGGAACAAAAAACACCCTGACATTAAGTAAGCAGGATGAAAGATCATTCAGCATTATTGAAAGTGCAAGCGATAGGACGTTGTCAGGGGTAGTCCGTATCGCACAAGTGAGGGAGGGAAATCCGAACTCCGACGTTCATCAGTCCTCAAAAATCAAAGACGATGTTCCATAGGCCAACCCGTGGAAGATAAAGTGGGTTGGGCACGTAATGCGCATGGACGACAACCGATGGACAAGTGTCTTTAGTGACTGAGTTCCTTGAAATGGGAAGAAACGTATGCTGAAAAGCCGCCGACACAAAGCTCAGAGTTCTTCACGAAAACCCTGGGGAAAAGATATGATGTTCAATGAGTCTTTGTAGAGAGCAGAACTCACTGGGCTGCTCTTGTACGCTATGTGGAGAAATGGAAGGGTTACTAGCACCCGCCCCAATAACTGTGCGATCAGCGGGGCGACAATGTGATACAGGTGATCTTTCGACTCGCACATCTCAGTGACTATCAGAAAGTGAGTCTGATAAGCGTTTGCAAATTTGAAGAAAAATAACAACTCTCTCAGAAAGGTGTGTTTAAGCGTAAACAACTAGTAAAGAAGAGAATAGGGAGATAGAAGAATTATAGGTTCGGTGTTGAACAACCTCGAGAGATGCTTCATAAATTTGACTTCATAAATCATCGTAAAGGTGATTGGATATATATTTGAATGGAGTACTAGCATCCTAGTCATCCTTGCTGCTTGCCGACCCCGGACAGACGAAAAGGCTGATGAGCTTAGGCCGCGGGATATGGCTATCTACCCAGAACAAGGGGATCTAGTTAATTATAGTTTAGGATATGAATGGTTTCCACGATTATTCAACAGATTTCTTATGATGAGTGGCATTGTACCAGCATTTAAGGCGTGAAGTAGAATATTAATATTCAGACGTATTATAGAAGGAACCCATGTGAAAAAGGTAGCATAATTATCAGCATAGAAGTTTAGAGTTAGAATGTAATTTCTGTTCACCTGAAAGCGCTGCTCCGTTTTGTCGAGTTGCATTTCAAGCTTGCGAAGAACTTTGGCTGCTGCTTCAAGTTGTTCGTCAATGGGTAAGCTTTCGTCGATTTCCTGCTCATCGGTCGTTTCTTCTAGTAAGTTATCTTTGGCTAAAATGCTTTTGCCTGAAATTGGAAATGTTTGCTTTTCGAATAAAGTCTACAGCGCTTCGCTACCTTTTTCCATCAGCGAATTTTTCGCTTCCGGATAGTCTCGAAGCGCTTCCCACAGGTCATCTTTGCTAAGAACATAGAGATCCGAATAGCCAACCGATCGGACGTTGGCCGTTCGTCGGTTTCCATTTTTGTTGCCCGGAATATTTAAAATTGACAGCTCGCCGAACACAGTTCCTACCCCAAGGCGTACGAATACCTAAAGACGCTCGGGTTTTAAAAACTATATTAAAGCAGTTTTACCAGTGCTTGAGTTTCTACCATTAGTAGCTACACATCCACAATGATGCTGAGATATTCGCACAATCTGCATCCCAGGCCAGGTGGAGCCACAATTACCCTTTCCCGGGGGTCGCGCATTGCGCACTGCAACACTGAGGTCCTTGCTTTGAGCTTCTCCCAGTTTTCTACCTGGCGCTGCCATCAGCAACCACTCGTCAGCGGAATTGATTGAGAAACTGATAAAACGCAGAAACGGAAACAGGACTGAGAGAAACGCAAAGCGAGGGCCTCAGTGGTGCAGTGTGTAATACACGAGCCTCCGGAAAGGGTAATCGTCGTTCGATCTAACCCAAGGTGCAAGCTTTGCGGATATCTCAGCATCATTGCGGTTGCATTTCACATCATACCCTGCCGTGAAAAATTATAGTAGGCAGCAAATAAAAGTTTAATAACTACACACTTTGTTACTATCATGGCAGGGAGACCATTGTCCAATTTTGAGAAAAAAGTAACTGATTTGGGAAGGAGTAGATGAAAATTTTCGGAAATGTTGGTCAGTGAGCTACGTGTATGTAACTGGTAAAATGATCGTTGGACAGGAAGAAGAAAAGTTCGCATTAAATCTGGACCGGAACCATTGTAGTGGCACCGTACAATGATTACGTAACAATTACGATTGCAGTATCTATACGACTCGGTGGAAGAATAACCGTACAGACCGAACCTTTTATGTATAACCAGCTGTTCCGCTTGTCTTCGAGTAGCTCGAGCAGGTAGAAGTAAAATCTTGCAGCTTATCATCTTTTTGGCGTTGTCGGCGAGTACCTTTTTTGCTAGTGTAAATCCCGTTGTATGTTGTTCCACAGTATTTGATTATAGGGCTTTTGGAAAAGCACTGTGTTGGGTATAATCCGAGCGAATGGATTCATAAATATCTCCACTTCTGTGCGAAAAATACAAGTCAATAGAGAGTTGGAGAAATAGGAAGTTCGCCTACTAAATCGTCCTTCCTTTCTTATTCACCTTTGTCACTCGTTTGATCTCCCGTTTTTCTCGTTTTGATGTGCCAAACAACCGGTATGATATCCCTCACATGAAGGAGATTCGAAGGTAAAACGAGTGCTCTATGAAAGTACGGATGAATGAAAAATGATTGGTTTAACACAATGCTTCTTGAGTGCATACATTTCTCTTTATAGGACTCGTTCTCACATCTACTGGAGAGATCCTGCACTTTTTTCCATTCTAATTCGTCCCACTTAGTTTTGACAGCTACCACATGCGATCTTGACTTTACGGATTTCATGCCGGAGATAGTGGCGATAATTATCCGAATTTCCTTTGATGAGTGCTCCTGATGAATTCGTTCCAGTGAGGTTTGCTACAAGTTTGCGACTGTTTGCGTTAGTGCAACAGCCACTCCAAATCAGTAGTTTTTGTTCTCTAGTTTCCACTCTAAGAATAGCCAGGCGGGAAAATTCGTCGAGTTAAACTCAAAGCTATTAGAGCTAACATTTACCCACGAAAGCGTGTCGGGAAAATCGACTCCAGATGTGTTATCGCCGTTCTCTCCGTAAAAGTTGGCATCCATTACTGGTAAAAAGTCGGACGGACTTATTTCTTGCACTTTCTTATTATTATTCCTCCACTTTCTTTTCATTCCATTCTTATTCGAGGGATTCGTATTTTTCCATGGTGTAATGCTTTCGTGAGAATTTCATCTAGTAGAGATAGTAATTGATTTTCACACTTTTATTGATGAAAGCCAGAGGTCATCAACACTTGTTAGGTGTGTAGTTAATAGGACAGGAGAGGATAACAGATATGATGGAAGGAAAATGGTAGCAGATATGAGAGAAAATAACAAACTTACATGGAAAACGAAAAAGCAGGAAAAAGGACAATAACAAACTTTGAAAAGGGATTGGATCATTAAGGTTATCGAATGAGCATCAAAGACGACTCATTCGTGGGATGAGGGTGATACCGGGCTCGATAAAATACTTGTGTAAAAAAATAAAGTGAAAGTGGAAGACTTCTGTCGAGAACGGAATTGATCTACGGAGAAGGTTGATTTCTACCAAACAGTCAGAAATGGAGAAATCCAGTGGCGAAATGGAGAGCATCGATTGGAATTCTTGTTATCCATTTTATGATTAATTTATATTTTCCACTAAATTGCCGACCAAAACTGGCAGCACATCCCTTAATTTACCGATTTTGCTGGGATTAGCTGCTTTCCTTATTTGTATATACATAATCGAGGGTAATGTTTCATCGACTGCTAGTCAACCGGAAAGTCACCACACCTTCGTGCCATCATCGTTAACAACTTCCACAGCTCCTTCCTTCACAATATACATTTCCGTTCCAACGTCACCTTTTCGGCAGATGTCGTCCATTGGCGAGTATACGCGCAACTCGAGTTTCAGAATCAGTTCGTAGAGAAGGTTCAACTCACAGTCCTGGAACAGTGAAGTGCGTCAGTACGAAGTGTTCTTGGTAACCTTGATGACTTTGTGATAACTGAGGCCTCAAAAACACTATTGATTTTCAAAGCTCATTTTCAGAGAAGAAGTATAGACGTACAACGCGTCGTCAGTGTTCTGCAAATTTGACTTCATAGTAACGTAGCATGGAAAGTTTGAGGTAATCTCGAAATTTTTTCGATATACTGGTGTCATAGGTGTAGGCTAAGACTCAGAGGAAAAACCACTTGTTATGCAAGAGCCGTCGTCAACACTTGACACTAAGTGGATGCTTACATCAAATAATTTGAAAATTTCTAATGCGTTTGCTTACTTCAAATAATTTAACGCGTCTCAACGTCTCCATGTGAATGTGCACGGCGAGCTGTCCATAAAGTCGAGGCGGCAAGAATTTGGCTATTTCCTTGAAGGGAAGTTCGTTTAGGAGAGCAACAAACGAGGCAAAACTGTTAAAGGTAGAACTCGGCAAACAGTGATAACATAACACTTCACACCGTATTAATCCTTTGGATGAACTGATTTCTTCGGCATCAATATGTGAAGATGACTCTTATCACTCGCTCTTTTGAATGGTAACTATACTTCCATCTCTCCATTTAAGTATAAATTCATGTTTAGTAATAGGATCGTCGTTATTGTTGTTTAAATTTGGTCTCTAAGTGGAAAATTCCACAGAAATGTTCCTGTTAAGTGATAGGATCTTCCATAGTTTTGTTTAAATTGTTCCTCCAAGTAGGAACTCCATAGAAATATTCATGTTTAACAATAAGACCTTCGTTGTTGTTATTTAAATTAGGACTTTAAGTGAGGAATTTTGTATAAACACTTTGCACAAAAGAGCCTGGGTTCCCATAAACTCTCAGTAGAATCCTAATACGATCTAGTACCTTCGGATCAGCTAACAGTTAAAAAAATTTGTTGTCCTTCTTTGTTGTCGCATGACTCTGTTTCGTTCCGTTCAGTGTTCCTTGCTTGCATTAAGAGTATTCCTAACTTACTTTCTCATCTACCTGCCCACCACCATGCGTCCTTGAATAGACAAAATAATCCACGGTTTTCTTCTGGAGATAGCGATGCACTTTTCTGGAAGCATCGATTAAAAGAGATATTTACAATTAACAAGATGTATAATGAAAGTAAGGTATAAAGTAATAGGATAAAGGAGAAAGCTTTCGCCGTTGATCAATCCCTGAGGGTGCATCATGCACTTGACTTCATTACGCAACATTTTTTATTCTATATGACCCATCTTCACGTCGACTCTGCGGATCCCAGCACTTCTCACATTCGATTCGTTTCCTCGCATCCATTGTCCACTGAAGGGAAAGATGAGGGAGTCATGGGATGGAACCAAGGACCACACGTGCATTACAGCGCACCTTTAAACACTCTGCAACGTGCTCCTCTAGATATAAAGTAAAACGCAGTAATAAATAGCGCTACTTAATGTCGTATACAGAGCCATTCGCCTCCAAACAGCTTTCAACTGCTGTTCTACTACTCTTGCATACATGACCAACTCCTAGCGGATTTTGTGACCATCGGTTATCAGCGCAACTTGTTCATATAAATAACTCTAAACAGTCATTCATCTCGAAAAAAAGTACCCGCATAATCGGCGTGTTACCGACTGCCCAATTTTTTATGGTCTCTGTTAAGCTTCTGAGAAATTCGTGCTATGCCATTCTTAAACCAGCACTGAAAGCATCTCTTGTATGCTAGAGGACCTTGTTCACTGTGTTCTTTAGAGGAATATGCCAACTCTTGATCCTAACTCTCAGCTAAGCTCCCAACAGGAAATGTTTAAACCTTTCTCGGCTTGGATGAACCTAAAAACCTGTCGTTGAGGTCCATGTTGTACATTGTAATTCGATACCGACCAGTAGCTTTTTGAAGTAATGTCGGCTAACTTAAAAGTGTTGCTATAATGCTTTGAAGGAGGAAGCGATAAAGTGCCAAGCATTGAACAATATTTGAGGGATGCGCCATGCACTCGGCTTCATCGTGCATCGTTAGAGTGACTGAAGGCATATTTTGGCCATACAGTGACTGGCGGTTTCCCAGCTCTGCACTAAGTTGATCTTCCTATCTTCTCAGACAATTTGGTTTTGGTACCAATCTGTCGACAGTAAGGGGATAGAAGCTTGGTGAACCCGGTGCGCGCGATGGAAATGGCGGTGATTCTGTGTGTACTGCAGGCGATCTCTAGCCACTGCTCTACACGCGTCCCTGTTGTAACAGCTAGCAGCCAAGTCAGTTACAAATGTGAAGGTTACCTGCTACCGTATTGATAAACACTACAAACATTAGGCGTCGGGTATTATAATGAAAATATTCAAACAATGTCAACAATTCAACAATATAAAGCCTACTATGGAACTTTTATAACCATCCATTTAGTTCTCACCTGTAGATCATATAGCTCTTGCAGCCGTCTAGAATCTCTTCAAAATTGGATCGCTTCATGTTCATCGTCGTTACCATGTTACCGACGTCACCGACGATCACCTATGAATAGACCTATGACACGACGTTCTCAACGAGTCGGAAAAGTTGGGAGAGGTTCATATCTTCAGAAGTTCGTTGAAAAGCTTACCGCAAACAAGACCAGACCAAGTAGTGTGTCACAGATTTCGAACGAATTTTGAAATGAATCATTTGGCGATGGCTTAATGCAAAAACATTACACAGAGGCCTTCGCTTGGCACGTGATCAAAATATTAAGGCCAAGGAAGACGTATAGACACCAGTTTATTAAACGTAAAGTTTCACCTGTTCACCAAGAGTGACAAGGGTTAGCGCAGACCAGTAGAAACTCAGCGCATATTGTTTGACAAATTTACTGAACACCATTGTATGTGACCTAAATCGAAATGATGTATTGCGGCGTTATTTGTTTTGACGGGATTCAACGTTGCACTTAAGGATCTCTAATCGATTTGAGATATTACGGAATCCTTTCAGATGCTGACAAAACAGATGTTGTTGGCATTTCCATCTTCCTGTAATTTCTAAAAGTGTCGTAAATACGAAGAAAATCAGGTTTAAACGGATAATGTGGACGGGCTCCATAGTTCATAGAACAAAACTCGAAGACTTAACACAATCGAGACGACGTGATCCCTGTAAGGGTCATATGATGAGGAGATGACGACGGTCTTTGGCTTTAAATCAACATATCTCATCTCCTATTGAAACTTATCAAATGTAATCAAACTTCTGGAGTTTAAATTTTCCACTTGGTGAGCAGATTCTTCGTTGTTTTGGCGCAATAAAATTCTGTGTTTTGGGAATCCACGACACGTATTTTTCCCACTTCAAAGGTGTTATCTCGAAGGCGAAAGCAAATGAAACAGCAAAATCTTGTCCATCAGAACAAAATGGTGTTCCTCAATGTGTCGCTTATTTGCAACTGGTGCTCTTCCGTTTGAAATTTCAAGAACTAGGGCTTCGTTTTCAATTTTTTAGAAGATCCAATTCTGAACATCTTTGAATTTCACAAGAGGTTGTATAGAAACCATATATGTAATAGAGCAAAGTCTCTGGATTCCGGAAATACTCTAGCGATTGGAGACCTATCGTCTGTTGTCCAAAAACCAGCTTATTTGGGCATGCGCTAAAAAATGGAGTGGTTTTTAAAAGAGATTTCTTAACAAACCTGTTCTCCCAGTAGAACATTGCCTTGTACACTTCTGCCGTTACATTGTCACAGTGATCGAAAAAACACAGTGATTGGAGGACATGAGTGCTGCACTCGTTCTTCGTTATACTGGAGTTTTCATTGATTTCACAGCCAACCAAGATCGGATCAGAAATCTTTCCAAAGGAAAATATCCAATTATCGCGGGATGCGGCTGAACTACTGATCGTTTTCATTTCAAACGATAAACGATCACTTACTGTATTCTCATAGCTAGTACAGAAGACTGTTTGCCCATTATCAGTTTCTTTTGTTTACACCAACTTCCTCCTAACACCATCTTTCTTTAGCTTCTGGTCATTTTAATTTCGAGTCCCATCTCGCTTTTTTCTGGCATTTCTTTTTTTAGCCTTTCTCTGATTTTCCCTCTTAGTCTCAGTCCAGTTTTCTTCAAGTATTTATCAGACATTTTTCTTGCTGATTCCAATCGTTGGCCTGTATTCTTACCGAGCCAGTAAAAAAAGGATAAAGCTCTCGGTGTTGGCGCCATCCATCCAACTTCATTAAGTATCGTTGGAGGTGAGTGAATGCATATCTGGCCTTTATAATGACTCGCGGTGGCCTAGCGATGCATCGAGGAAGTGCTGCTATCCTCCCAGACAAATCTGGTACCGATTCGCCGACTCCAGAAGGATGGAGGGCTTGGTGGGCGATGGGCGCGGGGGTCGATTTCACGTGTGTGTTGCACGGCGCCTCCGACCACTGCGCCACATGCGCCTCGAGCCAATTCGAATTCTAATTTATCTCTTCCCGTTCTCAGTGAGTTATTTTCTAGTCTTTACCACTAGTCCTTCATCAAAAATTGCTTTCTTCTGCGTATGTGATTCAAACATCATCTGCTTTGGTCACCCTGGATTGAAACGTACCTGAAAAGTCGTACAGTACACTGATGAAGAAATAGATGCATCCGTTCCAATGAAATATAACGAAACATGTGAATATCAGCTTAGTGACGCGATAAAGGTTCGGAAACTTGGTACGAATTTCTGTTAGAGTGTTGAACTGGGCCAGTCGATAACACTAAATCATAAATTAAATAAATAAATGAGATTTACGCCTGATTTTTGTCAGCACTCTTTTCTTTTGTCCTCTACCTTTAGCAATCGGTTCATCCTTGAGAGTGACAAGTCAGGCTTCAGGTAAAGCAGCAAGTCAGTCGGCAAAATACATATGATGTCAATAAAGCAATACTTACTAAAATAATCGGGCTTTTAAGAGTAATGGGAATCTAAATAGAACGTCAACAAGACCGAAAAGACGTTAGGCACAGAGAAAACGTTAAAAGTTTTCAATAAGTGAGGTGGTGAATGAAGGTATAACATTTTCTTACGATCTGATTCTGTTGATGAACATTTGCTTGACGCTTATCACATGAATGCCGTCTTCAATAAACTCTGAAAGTATTCCTCACTTCGGCAATGTTGTAGTAACGTAATTGGTTGTGGCCCGTCTACACAAGACAGGGAAACTCTTTGAGACCACTTGTAAGGATTTTGGGCATCCAGGTGCGCGAAGTTGAACAGCTTTGGTAGCATAGGAATTTATGAGAGTTTCGAGTAACATACGTGTTTACCACGAGCAGGCTTTGGAAGAGAAAGAACTGTGATCTTTCTAAGATTTGATTCTTTTAATGGATTACAAATCGAAAGCTATGATTTCCATTGTTTTACTGAAGCCCTTATATTGGCAGATGGTTTGGTTCTTGTTGAATTTTAAAAATATGACATTGGCTGGATAGAGAATAAGTAACGCGAATGTGATCATACTCACGTCTTCTGGTCAGGACGAATAAGTCGAGTAGAAAGACAATATCGAACGCGATATTGAAGCTGATCCAGAGACGATAAAAGTTTCGGTAGATTTCTTCGAATACCATGATCACAATCATGATTAGATTATACAGACAACCAAGACAAACCAATGAAGTCCATAAGTAGAATGTCAAGCTCGTCTCGTCGATTGACCAGCAGAGGAGCCTTCTGAAACGACCGACGCATATTGACACGACTGCTTGTCTGCATCTGCGTCATTGAAGATAAGTATTCTGAATACAGAAATAGATACAACCACAATAAAGCTGGAATATTTGCAGACCTCAGACCCTCACATAATACACCGCCGTGAAAATTAACAGACAGTGAATTAAATGTTAAGCATTGTGATTTCGACTACAACCTCAGCACAACTGGGTTCGACGCCAATTTGTGCACCTCAGACCATTCCCGTTGACGAGTGAATGCTGATATCACCATTCAGGTAAAAAAAAAAACTCGCTGAGAGAAAGGCAAAGCGATGGCTTCAGTGTACAGTGGGCAGTAATACATGAGCACCCAGAAAGGGCAACTGTAGGTTCGAATCTGATCTAAAGTTTGAATTTTGCAAATACCCGGGCTACTTCGTCGTTGTATTTCACTCAATGCCCCTCAATGAAAATGGTAGGTAGCAAATAAAAAGTTGTACATATAAACAAAGGATGAATTTTTTAGAACATTTCCAAGACTAACAGAGAGAAATATTGAAGGGGAAAAAAGACGGCTATTTAATTCCTGCCAAACACAGTACACACGGATTCATTAAGCTGACGTCCGCTTTGAAGCTTGATCATTAAGTTGCAGGGATTAAATGTTTGGAGAATCTGTCTTCTGGAGTAAAGCGAGCATAGTTCTTACCCATTTCATTTTACTGATACCTCGTCTTTACGTGACTTTCCTAGGTCCAAGTGCACTTGCGAGTTTCACGTTGTCACTCACTCCAACATCGCAACCGTTTTGTACATAGGGTTGGTTGAAAGAATAGCCTTTTTGAAAACCAACTTTGAAGTACTGTGGACCATTTCAAACGCCAATGTACTAATCGATTAAAAAACAACGAGAATCCAGCAATTTTTTGCGAAAAACTAAAGTTCGTATGTTCGAACAGCACAGAAGTCCGCAGTTCTGGAGACAACGAATTCTTCGACAGCTTTTTCAACTGCAGCCTTATTGCTGAAGGGTTTCTCATTCATCAACTACGGTCAATGAGCTTAAAAGCTGGGAATTTAGATGAAGAGATTCAAGTCCCTATCTTGACTAACCACGGATCTCCCTCTTATGAGGAATCTCGGGCCGGTTAGTCGCGACGCTACGTGGGGTTTCCCAGGTGGCAGATAGGAGGATAATTAGCATACCAAAACCAACCTTTGCTTCCTGAGACGCAGATGGATCCAGGGAATGGAGTCATTGCTTCTGCTTCGATTTGGAACATACTTTTCGTACTTAAGAGGCGTATTCACGCACACGTGTGTGGGTGCGTTCTAGTTTAAGCATATTGTATTCTACGAATCAATTCGGCCAAAGGCCTGCAATCAAGTGACAAGGAAGTATATGGGAGGCGGCTAGAAGTTGCCTCCAACAGATAAGGTCCATGTCCACTCCAGGAGAGCCTGGCAAGCTACCCGTGAGTATACCCAGCCCCCACGGTCAAAGTCCAGCAGGCTATACGTGGATATCGAAAAGCTAAAAACTCTAAAAGAAACCGGCCTCATTCCCCAGACCGCGAAAGAAACCCAAATTCGGCAGCGTTGGGTAGGATGAGTACGGAGAAGTTGCTAAAACCTCAGGAACAATGGAATCTGCCTGGATAACGAAAAACTAAGGCGACGATCTGTACCTACAATGCAGGCACACTTGCATCCGAGTCCTCGATTGAAGTATTGATCATGCAAGCAAGAAGAATAAGGTAGGACGTCATCGGTCTCGCCGAGACGAGACGAGGCCACCCATTCGACACCTTCTATGACACAGCAGAAAAACTGTTCCTCGGAATATGCGATAGTAGAGGAGTCGGCAGCGTCGGCGTTCTCGTCAACACGGGTTTGCCCATGAAAATCGATTCATTTGAACAATTAACAGCCCGAATCGGACGTTTGCTATTTAAAAGATGTGGATCAATACATGCTTTGACAATCTTGGGCTTTACGCGCTGACATCAAACTATGACGAAGAAGACTTGAAGAAGTTCTACAGAGAAGACCATGTATTCTTCAAAGCCATCATTGGAGACTTCCACGCCAATACTGGACTAAGGAGAACGTCTGAAGAACCTCACATTGGAACTCACGGATTAAAATGGAACAAGCAGGGTGAGCTTGCAAAACAATGCAGACAGGCGATAAAAGAAAGTCTTAAAGAGAGGAGCAGCAGTAATGGTCGAAGCCGCAGAGGATAGGAAAAGCATTCGCAAAGCCCACCGAAGCTTCGCCAAGCACAAGACCAAGGTGATTGCACTCCGATTCCTAGACGGAAGAGTTACAGCGTTCAGAAAGGCAATAAAGAAAAGCATTCACGAATATCACTCAGATCTCTTCGACATTCACGTCCTTCTTCCCTCATGAAATAAAGGAGGGTGGAGATGTCGTGTCACCGCTTCTCCCTGAACACGGGAAGAGGCTTCCAGCAGTCCTCGTAAATACACTGGTTCGGCTCTTCACACGTTACCTGTCTGAATGCAAGGTCCTCCCTGTGGAAGACCAGCAACACTGTGTTATTGTTCAAGGTGACCTTCACGACATCAGCCACTATCGCCCTATCTGCTTGCCGTCTGCCGTCTACAAACTTTTCACTCGAGTCGTGCTAAATAGGATTGACAGAATACTGGGCGAAGGACAGCCATGTGAGCAAGTAGGGTTTCGAAAAGGATTTAGTACGATGGACCACAACCACACGATAACAAGACTCACTGAAGTATCGCGAGAGTGCAAAAGACCGCTCTGTCTCATTTTCATCCATTTGAAAAACGCCTTTGACTCAATTGAGATAGAAGCACTCATGGAACCCCTTGATAATCAGGGAGTTCCTACTCAGTATATAAAAATTCTTCGTGAGCTGCACAAGAACTTCACAAATGTGATATCACCATTTTACACTGCTCTTAACATCGACGTCAAAGAGGAGTGAGGCAAAGCAGTACCATCTCCCCAAAATCATTTACCGCTACTCTTCAGAACCTCATACGAACACTGGAATGGGATAATATGGGAGTGAAAATCGACGGTCAGCAGTTACATCATCTTTGCTTTGCTGACGACATCGTCCTTGTAACACCAGACATTAGCCAAGCGAAACGTATGCTTGCGGACTTTGATAAAACCTGTGGAAGGAATAGTCTTCGACGAGAACTCACAAAAACGATGTTCATGAGGAACGGATTGGTTTCGTATGCCCCATTCACGCTTAACGGAACGAATTTCTCTGAATGCACCAGTTATATCTATCTAGGTTGTAAAATAAGCATGATGAACGACTTAGCTCCAGAGCTGAGCAGAAGGAAGCGAGCGGCTTGGGGAGCTTTCAAGAGCGGCGAGAATGTAGTGTGAAGAACAAAGAACACCCGACAGTGCCCATCGTTTCGACTGAACGCTACTTCCTGCGCTAACGTATGCGTCAGAAACCTGGTCGCTGCGTGGAATTACAAGTGATAAAGGTGATCTTGATCAAAGAGTTTCATAGAGCGATTTATTCAACATCTACACCGAGGCTTTTGCAACTTGTTACCAACTATTGTCGTGCGAGAGGATTGAGTTCCTTTGATTACTAAATCTAGATGTATACATGCGTTTTTGAAGGGCTTCATCAAGTTTCTAGTTGCGCACCTCTACTGTGGTCATTTTGCCAGGAATCAAGGAATTATAATGGATCATTCGATCCGTTGTGGGAGAGGAAGCTGCATAACTATTTCTTGAGGAAATTCAGCCGTGGGAATATACTGCTGAGCTGCATTTCGATCTAGCTTTTCCTACGAGCTGGAAGTGTTCGGCAATTCTGCATAGAATCAAGATACCATCTCATGTCACAGTTCTCTCTAGAAATTGGTCACTTCGGAGAGGCAGAGCAGAATTCATCGAAATCCATCTTTTATTCAACTAGTTCGTGCAGAACCCATTTAACCACGTTTTTCATTTTGCTGCTTTCCAAATTAGCAGCGATTGCTGTCAGCGTCAAATTATTCTGGAGCCTCTCGATTAAATGTTCGATGGCTAGCCTGGTTTAGACATGCAGATAGTTGCTGTTAACAGGTGGTAGACACCCACCACCATCTTCTTTGTCATGGTTCATCTCTTCGGTACGCAACGTTCCGAGTCATCTGCACAATTCGCATTCAGAAGAGCTTCACTGCTTCATGCATGGAAAACATTACGAGTTGCCATCACTCCGTCAAAAACTTCCATTTGCACTTGAAGCCAAACAACACCATTTCCTTGGCTTGAGGGTACCATTCCAACTTTTATTGTTCATTAAGTGCCATGAATTCTGTTACGTAATAAGTGGTTAAGCAATAAATAAGGTCCAAGAAAAAAATGTTTTTAACGAAATGTACTTTTATATTTCATTCAGGCTATTTTCACTGTCATGCACAATGGTTGTACGAAATTTTATGCAGTTCGAAATTTTGAAATATTTAAGAGAATCAGCGCCCGATTAGACCGTTCTGGTCTTCTGAGCGCGAAACATGACGCTATAACTACGGTTTGTCGTTGACGTATGCTTTCATTATGAGAAGGTCCCACCAAGCTTGACTGCTTCTCACTTTCTACTGTATTGCCTGAACTAGCGGTGGCAGAATGTGGTGTGCGAACGTAGTGAGATATCTGAGGAGCTGGCAATGTCACACAAGGTACACTACCAGATAGGTCCGTGTTTAGAAACGTAGGACACTTTCACAACATTGGTGACCTTAGCGATTGTGTATTTTAGGTGTATTTTTAGTGACCGGATAAATATTTTTGGAATATGATGACAAAAAATTGCTATGAATGCTAAACAAACATTGGCTCACTTAAACAGCGGTTCCTTGTGAGTAACTTCAACCATTTCTATTGGCAGCTCAAAGACTCGCTTTACGTTTTCGTCGTCAACGTTTTTCGCTTGGGTTTTCTTCTTTTCTATATTGTATTTCAGCCAGCATTTTAAGAGCTGTAAAAATCATAGCAATGAATCTTTCGCGCTAAATCGTATTTTACTGTGCTTTTTAATTGTGAACTTCTATGACAAGTGCCTTGGTGGACTTAAACGCGAACTAAAAGGGGCGCGCTGACGTGGCAGTGAAGAGAGTGGATAAAGTAACTGTTTCTGCTTAGGGATGACATATATGTTATATATGGGCATTAAAATTTGCACGGCTACGTGGGTTTTCTGCCATGTTTACTGATTGCATCGTGTATGCCTTTTCGGCCAAAAGCTTGCTACCAACACATTGAAAAGTACATATGGGAAACTTTTTAGAGTCACTTGCAAGAGAGTTCCACATCGACCCTGAGCTAACCCGACAGACCACATGCTCGTATTCCATTGCCAAAAAATACGAAAACTCTTGAAAAAATGTGCATTTATTAGATCTTTAAAGGGTTACCGCTACGGTAATGTTTGGGTGCACCAGCATGAAGAAACTAGAAAGTTCTCAGCGCGATATCGTGTTACGAAAACCTTTAAGAATCAAGGTGACGTAGTTAGAACGTTTGAGCTATTGCATGAGGAATCCGATTAAGCTAGATAAAGGATAAAAAAAAGATAAAGCTATCGGTGTTGATCAATCGACTTCACTAAGCATCGTTCGAGGTGATTGAATGCATATCTGACCTTTACAATGACTCGAGGTGGCCTACCGATGTATCGAACCAGTGCTGCTATCCTCCCAAAAAACTCTGGTACCAATTTGCCGACTCCGGAGAGATGGAAAGCTTGGTGAGCCATGGGTACGGAGATCGATTCCCATGTGTGTATCGTAGTGGCGCCTCCAACCACTGCGCCACACGCGCCCAGATATAAGATAAAGGATGCACAAATAAAACGTAGTCTGCCCATCGAAGAAAGGAAACATCTCCTACTAAACAAAGTATGTGGTACTGAAGAAGAGATCGCTGTCGATATATGCGATACGAGAGCTGGCAGAATTGCTGAATTGATCAACAGATGAAAATCCATGGTCATCAATTCATCCAAAGAATTAACGAATGAGGGGAGGTTTGGAAAGACATAACGTAGAGTCAACTCTAACAGTTCTCGTCATCTATGCTCCATCGTGGTTCTGAGGAAGTTCTACAGGAAAGATCACGACATCAACTTGATAATTGATCTTAAGAGGTTATCCAAGCAATTCCACTACGGGACCAGGAGCTGGAATAGAACGGAACCCTACCTAGCAAAGCGAGACTTCTGATTGAGAAACTATGATAAGACTATGCGGAAGGCATAGAAACGTTGCTCGAATAAATTTTTGTAATGACTCGTGTTAGGTTTTCAGTGAAAGAGGTGCATGTGATGAATTCGACTACACCATCATAAATTGGAAGTATTGTTTCTTCATATTACTGTTTGCACAAAATTCTTCGCAACGCAGGACCATCAACTGTTGCTTCTGTTCGCGGAAAAATGGCAGGAACATGCAAGGCTTCGGAAGGAATATCCCAAAGAATTTCTAAATCGTAATTGCTTTCACTATGTTGGCCGACTTTTAAAATTATATGCTGGAAAGGAATATGTCAGCAATACTACTAGAAGAGTTTGAGGGCCAATGTGAAAAATTTATCCTTTGAAGCACTCAAGCTAATTCGCAAGCATTGACTTGTAACAGCCACATTCAACAACCAGCTTAAGACCGAAACTCTGTAAAAAAGTGGAAAAAACAGATAGCAAGAAGAGAAGAACAGCGCAATTGGATGACGACACAGGGTTTGGAGAAAGCACTGCTAACGCTAATCGGATCTTCTCCAATCGTAAGACGAAAAATATCGCTCTCCAGCGTCCAGTTGAAGTAATCACTTCATCTAAGGTTGAATAGCTAAATCACGATTTCCTAACATATCAACAGTTCTACACAGATCGTTCACGCCAGTCATTCACAACTCATACACAGATCTGTGCAGCAGATGCGTTCTTCTCCCTCTATACAATTGCAGTAAAAACATTTATGTGATAAGAGACGCTGTCTTTTAACCTATACGCCGACTCGATACGATGAAATCGGATTATCTAAAACCTACCGTAAGCCCTTACCAAAACACTGGCGTAGCTTTCCACATGTTAGCTACCATAACGCAAGGTTAACAGTCATTGTTATACAAGCAATATTATTTTTGTGCATGAAAAATGTGACACACACGCCATACGACTAATTCGCAGTTTGTCTGCTTTATCATCTGGAAGCTCTTTGCTCTTGCTCATAAATACATT